GGGGAGGAAATGGAGGAAATGAAAATGGATCGTCCAAATGTCTAGAAGCCCGGGCTAGATGCCGCTGCAGGGGTTTCCTGCTTGGGTTCTTCCAAGATGCAATCCCGCAAACAATTTCGACGAATAATCGCCCCGCCTATTGAGCCTATGCGGCTCAACAATGGCCTTGACTCTGGGCTCTTTTCGGGCTACAGTGCCCCATTTCCCGTAACGCCCGTTCCAAATGAGTTCATAGCCATGTGGTTGTCCATCTGAAGATAAATGCCCCTGGCTGCCGCGACACATGGAGCGAAACATTTTCTTTCCGACTGTGTTGTGGTCCTGCGTACAGACAAATCCATAGTTCGAAGCGAGTTCTTGCTTGCTTCTTCATTTCCATACCATGGACCGTTTCTCAGCCTTCTCCGATGTTCCCCAACTAGGACCCGGGGTTAGTGTTCCCCAGGATTATGAACTGTACCCTTGCAAGTATGAGTCGTCGTATACGGACCCCACGATGAGTCAACATCCTTCAGGCCTCCAACATCATCTCACTCCGGAAGCTATCCCTATGAAAGGCCTTTATCCCACATCTAACATGTCCTGGACGAGCATGGGAGATGATATCGACACTCTCACGACAGGCTTCTCGTCTCCCTGGAGCAGCGAGCCCACCTCTTCGCCGGCGCTGGGAAGCCCCAAGTGCAAGGATACGAACTGGATGAATATGGGATGTTATATGTCTCCTCCTTATACCTGTGACGATGTCATGATACCTTTATCTGCATATGAGCCGTGCGCTTCGCCCGCTGTTGTCGATTATCTGGTGACGCCTTCACAAATCTACCCAGAACCAGAGTCCATGGTGAAAATTGAGCCTGAACTACCCTTACCAAGCACGCATGCCATAATTTCATATCAGGGGGCCTTCTCGAACTGTGAGACCAGTTTCACACCTGGGATGTCGATCGGTGGTCAGCCGGCCAAGGAGGAGCGCGCCGCTTGTGACTCGCCAAAGTTTCAAGTCAAATCACGAAAAGCACCGAAGGCCAGCAAGAATCGCATCACCAAACCGACTCGAAAGTCATCCAGCAAGACAAGCACCACTACGAGCGCCCGTGCTGGCTCAAGGGTAACGGCGAAGAAGAACACCCCACCACCCAGTCGAGTATATACCTGCAGCTTTTCACACTATGGCTGCCTCAGCACATTCGTGTCGAAGAACGAGTGGAAGCGACATGTGATCTCTCAGCACATACAACTGGGATTTTTCCGATGCGATGTGGGGCGTTGTAGCTTGGACAACCTGAGCAAAGAGAGAAACCTCAGCTCACCGCACGAGCCCCTCGCCTACAACGAATCTCACCTGGTCAATGATTTCAACCGCAAAGACCTCTTCACCCAGCACCAGCGTCGCATGCATGCCCCCTGGGTGCATCGAAACCGGAAGTCGCCCGAGACCGAAGAAGAACGGGAAGCGTTTGAGCAGAGCCTGGAGGCTGTGCGCGCACGATGTTGGCACGAACAACGCAAGCCCCCTCTTCACAGCCAGTGCGGCTTCTGTGGACAGGAATTTGTTGGTGCACACAGTTGGAACGACCGAATGGAGCACGTTGGTCGCCATTATGAAAAGGACAACCTCGAGCAGGAAAGCGAGGATTTGTTGTTGCGGCAGTGGGCTATGGAGGAGGGCATCATCCGGAGTCTGGACGGAGAGTTGAAGTTGGCTGTCTTTTGTGACAGCAACTAACTGCCCCTTCCCTTTTGAGATGAACCCTCCTGCCCTGCCGACTTCTCTTCTCCCCTTCTCCGATGCCTCAGGCGATTGCACTTCTATCGGTTTAATTTATGCCAGTCCCCCCTTTCTTGATGACGACACTTTACGACCTGATATCCTGTATTTCACATCTTTGGTTTAGAGGAGTATATGGTGTTTTCTTTACTGTCTGTCTGTGCCATCACGCTGTCTACCAATACCCAATACCCACTCTTGGAGCAAGAAGGAAAGAGATATATTAGCATATCAATTGACACATCATACACATACACCTACGGTTTCCCCAACTCATCCATACCTATCATAGATATTGGCCAATAGACTAGACTCGACCCACCACCGACTAACCTAGCAGTGACAATCTGTTCAACAGCCCAGTTTAGCCCCAGACTAAAACCAGCATGGTCTGATCGCCCAGTCGCCCAAACGACACCGGTTTCCACGTGGCGACCGGTTTCTAGAGCATGACTTCCCGCGGCGGGTCCCTGAGTTTGGCCCCCGAATTGATTCCATCCGTTTGGACTCTCTTCATGAAACGCAGACCGTCCGTGCGGCTGACAGGGTGAAGAACGCGGGTTGACTTATCGTCGGGCCTACGGAATGTGCCCACGTGTTGGTGGCCGGTATTCTGGTCGTTGGTTGAATTCCAGGTCTTCTAGAATATGGATTTCCAGCCGATCCTGGTATTTTCCATACACTAACGGCCTCGACATAGGAGCCCCTCGCGCTCAGTCGTCATCTGGATGCTTTGAAATCGAAACCTGGTACCTTAAGTGGATAAATGTCCGTCATTCTGCCAAGGAGCTCTCCAGTTGTTTCTGTTGGCTGCCGCCTGAAAGGAGAATAAAATGTGTCGAATGTGATTGCAGTGGTACGGCAAATTGACCTTAATGTAGCCAGATAATCTATTCATGGTACAGAATAGGCATAATGGTATCCATGGTTTCGTATCGAGACTGCGATTCCACGTCAGCTGGTCAACTGTTCAGCATCACCCCAACGAGACAGAACAGGAATTCGCCAGACTCACATTAGAGTACTAACCTTTGTTGGAGAATGCCTCTCCCCGGACAGCTGTGCTGCTCTCAACCCAAGGCCAACGACTGTTGAGTTTTACACAGCAGCATTGATACTCCGAAGTGGATGATCCCGCTATAGATGGATCGGCAGTCATGTGTTCAGCATCCCCGCCGTGACATCAACAGGTTGAACAACAAAACTACCACCCAAAAGAAATGCTTACTACAAACCATTGGCTGTCTCTTCTGCCATTTCAACACATTTTACAGCTCTCGGACCCTCATAATCAAGTCACACCGGCCCAAGATGACCCCGTACCCCTTCAACCACACTCAACCAGCCCACCCCTCAGCTAGCAAGCACAGCACAACAGCAGCAGCCTCACGATCACCACCAGGCTCCCATGCCAAACCTCAGACCCTCACCTACACCCTTCAAAATGTTCGCGGCCGCCTGCCCAGCCCACAGGCCTCGCACCTGCGCACCCTCTTCCAAACCTCCCACCGCGACCCAACCACCATCCTTGCATTTCCCTGCACCTACGACGGCCTCTCCTCGCGCCTTGTCGCCGAATCCGGCTTCCCACTCATCTTTCTTTCCGGCTTTGCCGTCTCCAGCGCCTACGGCCTGCCGGACACCGGGTACATCGCCATGGAAGACATGTGCCACAAGATCCAAGAGACCGCCCGCATCGTCACCGACCTACCCATCATGGTTGACGGGGACACGGGTTACGGCAGTCCCATGAATGTCAAACGCACGGTCGAGTGCTTCGCCGCCGCCGGGGCCGCAGGCGTCATGATCGAGGATCAGACCTGGCCGAAACGTACGTCCCCTGTCCAGTCACAGTGCCTGCCCTCCAGACCCCGCAGCTCTCCATAGCAAACCCTCCCAACTCACCAAACTAACAAACCCCACCAACTAAAAAAGGCTGCGGCCACACCAAAGGCAAGTCCGTGGTACCACGGGGCGAAGCCTACGCGCGGATCCAAGCCGCCGTCGACGCGCGCAACCAGGGCCGGGACATCTTCATCCTGGCTCGGACGGACGCCCTCATCCACGGGTGGGACGAAGCGATAACCCGGGCGAGGGAGTTCATCGCGATCGGCGCGGACGCCATCTTCGTCGAGGCGCTGCCCGACCGCGAGGCCATGCGCCGCTGTGTGGCGGAGCTGGACGTGCCCATGCTGGCGAACATCATCGAGGGCGGCAGGACGGAGAATCTCCCGGCGACGGAACTGGCGGGCCTGGGGTTCGCGGCCGTCGCGTATCCCTGGACATTGGTGGCGGCCCGGTTAAAGAGTACGCGCGAGGCGCTGGAGGGCTTGAAGCGGAGTTTTACGGTCGGCGCGCCGCCGCAGATCCTGCGGTATGAGGAGGTTTGTGCGGGGGTGGGGTTTGAGGAGTATTGGGTGAGTGGTGGTCTTTTTGTTTTCTTCTGAAGGATCTTGGTATGCAGTTGTTGCTGGGTTGTTGACAGACGCTTTTATCGGTTTAGGATGCAGAGACGCGATATGAGTTCAATAATGAGGGGCTGGTCAATCCTCGAGGGGGAAAGTAATGTGTACAGTACTGCGAACTGTCTCTACGGTGTGAATCGAAACTGCAGAGTCAAGCTATAGATTCGTTCTACAGGCCTCACAGCCGTTCGGCAAGTTGCCTTCACTTTGCACTGCCACAACCTCCGAGTCTTCCGACGTAAGGCGATCATCTCATCATCGAGCCGAAGTGGATCTAAATGCAGCGGTGGGATACCTCGGCGATAAGATCTCGGTCTCGCTTACCTTATACAGAATCGAGTTCCGACCATCTCGGACGAAGAACTCAATTTAGTACTAGACTCCTGCAACGATATCCACCATAGAGGCTTCCAGGATGGTCATGACGAATGGTCTAATGTTCTCCATTCAGAATTGTGTGTATATTGCCAGTCAAACGCGCCAAAGAAGACGCCGCTCGGAGATAGAAAGACGTTCGTCATAGGGTGGACCACTTACCACAGAACTGAAGGTGGCAGGTGAAAGTCACCGCCGTCTGCATTTGTAGATCACCCAGCAGCCGTGTATAAAAGGTCCATGTCCACAATAGACACGGTCATCATCAGCCTCCAAGACACTGCCTTTACGAACGAAACCTAAACTCTCTCTATTCTTGACTCGATACCTACCACTTGTACCTCGAAGCACCTATCCAAGACCAACTCATACACACCAATCCTACCAACATGCCTCCGCACGTAAGTCCTCAACCTACCCATCCACCGCTACTTACCTACAGAACATCCCCAGAAGATCTAACCTCTTCCCCCCAAAAAAAGTCTCCTGAAGCCGCCGCTCAAGCCGCGCGCACCCACATTTTCAGCCAACCCACGACCGAGCCCTACCGCAACAACCCATGGGCCCTGTACCGCGCGCTCGACGAATACAGCCAGACGCGACACCTCATGAACTTCAAGGAAACCAAGCTCCGCGTCGCGAAGCAGCACCTCGAGTCCATGCAACCCAGACCCAAGACCGTCATCGAGTTCGGGACCTACGTCGGCTGCTCCGCCATCGCGTGGGCGGCCATCCTGCGCGACCTGCACGGGCCCTCCGCGGACAACGACATTAACATCTACACCTTCGAGGTGAGCGAGTCCATCGCCCAGGTGGCGCGGGACTTCATCGAGCTCGTGGGCCTGCAGGAGGTCGTGCACGTCCTGGTGGGACCGGCGTCCGAGTCCCTACGGGGGCTGGTCGAGCAAGGCAAGATCGCCCCCGGCGGCGTCGACATGGCGTTCTTCGATCACTGGGAGAAGTTCTACCTCTCGGACTTGCAGCTGTGTGAGGAGCTGGCGCTGTTCCATGTCGGGTCGAAGGTCATTGCGGATAACACGGATATTCCCGGCGCGCCGGATTATCTGGAGTATGTGCGGGCTGGGGGGAAGGGAGGGGAAGGGGACGTGAGGTATACGACTCGGTCGTTTGAGACGGAGCATGTGGTGCAGGGGCGGCCGGTAAGTGTCTTCTCTCCTGTCTCCGGCTTGGATGATACCAGGATGTATATGTGGGAACTTTGTCTTTGCTGACTTATTGCTTCTTGTAGAATATTGTGGAAGTGACAGACGTTGTGGCTGTCCGGTCATGATATCGCATGTGATCCATCTCTCGATTGAGAGTTCTTTATTATTAGACGCAATTTATCACGTTGACGTGTATGACAATTCGAATTTCCGGTCACTGGGACATATCCTTGACCATTGTGCATATCCAGAAGACCAGCTATGTGCGCCATGTAGATTTGTAGGCTTGCAGACTCGATGCAGAGCTTAAGTAGATAAAGTCCCAGGAGATGCATGAAATGTGGGCAAGTGCGGAGAAAACAACGGGCTATTTAAAGGTCCACCCAAAGGACCTTCCCATCGAAAGCGGTGAGCAAAACGGCCGCAGTGTAAGACACCGGCGGCCAACAACACCTCCGCAATAATCACCTGGTATAATGATCAGAACAACAAACAATTTGATATGAAATCACGACAAAATAAGATCCTTCGCCCTTTACACATCAATTGCCAAGAATTGACGAGAAAGCGTCTGTGATGCCGTATGACCACAGATCCTGAAACCACGTAAAAGGACAAGATTGTCCGATACTTCTCCCACGACTGACATAGCTTCTTCTGCCCCCCTCATCATCATGTACGTCGCAACCACAATCCCAAACTCCCAATTCCCTCTTTCCTCCCCTCCCCACGGAAAACCAAACATCTAATCCAAAAACAAACAGGACCGTCTTCTCCTTAATCATTATCAACAAAGCCGGAGGTCTAATCTACCAGCGCGAATTCCAACCGGGCCTCCGCAAGCTCTCGACAAACGACTACCTCGTTCTCGCCGGAACCTTTCACGGGTATGAATGGACCTTTGTGCCAAACGCCTCTTCCAGAGAGACGAATGCTCGTACATTAGGACTAGAAGAAACGAAACTAAATAACCTCTAACAGCGTCCACGCCATCACCCGCACCATCACCCCGAAACTCCCCCTCCTCACCCCAACCGCAATAGCCTCCACCCCGACCAGCGCCTCCTCTAACCTCGCCTCCCCCTCGGGCACCTCCACCCCGATCCCGCCCACGACGACGACAACGACGACGACGACAACAGCAGCAGCAGCAACAACAACAGCCGTCTCCGCAACCTCGTACACATACCCGATCCCCGGTGTGCCCGCGACGGGGCTGGAGTCCCTCGAGACGGACAAGTTCCGGCTGACGTGCTTCCAGACGCTGACGGGCACCAAGTTCCTCCTTTTCACGGACCCGCACATGGCCAACATCGAGGTGGTGATGAAGAAGATCTACGAGTTCTACGCCGACTTCGTCATGAAGAACCCGTTCTATCAGTTGGAAATGCCGGTGCGGTGCGAGGCGTTTGATCGGAATCTGAATGGGTGGTTGCGCGGGAGGACGTGAGGATTCCTGATTGAATAGAATTCATTCTTGCCTTTGTTGTTATAACAAGGGAAGAGGAAAAATGATTTGCCTACTGTTGGGCGTGATTCAAAGCCGATTTCTGGCGACGGAAACTTTTAATGATTGCACTGGTGTATCGTGTTCCTTTTACTTTTCTTCTTTCATGGGAGGCGTTCGTTCATCAATTCCTTTTTTTCTTTCTTTCTTTATATATGCGTCGCGGTTCTCTCCGGCAAAGGACTACGATTATGATGATATAGAACTCCCATATAGATACCGCAAGCCTTTCTCAAAAGCATTGTCGTGTGGGCGGGGGGGTCGACTCTAGAACCCACGTTCTACAATTACAACCAAGCAGAGAAACCAGAGAAAACTTTAACGCAAGTACACATCAGAAGGAACGCCGGGTATGCATCAGAGATTGAAGAAGAAAAGAAGGTCATCCACGAGGATCATTTCAAAATTTCCTCACACATTAAGCGGTATCCATCTTGTCACCGTCTTCCTTCTTGTCTTTGCTTCCGCTACCCTCACCAGTCTCCTCGGGAATACCCTCCAAGTTGGCTTTGCGCTCCTGTTCCTCCCGATCCCGCTTCTCCTTCTCTTGTCGGTTCTTCTCCTCCTCGAGGGACAGACGCAGGGCGAAGGCCAGCTCGGGGTCGTTCTCCGCCGCATCCTCGAAGTTGAAGCCCCCGTCCCCGCCGTCCGGCCCGGCGCCACCGGCGCCGCTGCCGTCACCACCCAGGATCGGCGTGGCCTGGAGCTCTTCACTCAGCAGGTTGTCGCCGGGCGGGATGATGGCCAGGTGGGAGCCGTCGCCACCCTTGACGTTCTCGACGAACGCCTCGAGCTTCTTGGTCTGGTCGGATTCGAGGTCTCCGAAGGCGATCACGTCGATGGACACGTTGTTCTTCTTCATCTTCTTGGCGAGCTTCACGAGCGTCTTCTCGTCTTCTTCAATGGGGGAGCAGGAGAAAACGATGATGCGCTGTCTTTGGGACTTCTCGGAGCGGTGCTTGAGGGCGAGCTATATTTTGCCGTCTGGTTAGCTGCTATGAATACCAATCGTCATTGTGGGAAGTTGTTGTTGGTAAGACATACACCGGCCACTTGTATGCTGGAGCTAAGGTGGGCAGTGCCACCGATCTTCGTGCGGTGCAGACCAGCCAGGATACCACCGAAGTCGGTGGTGAATGTCGACAGGACTTCGGGACCCTTTCCTCCCATGCTCATCAGCCCGACGGCGGATTGGGGGTGTACGCGCATCTTGGTCGTGTGAATGACGCTGACAGCGTCGATCTGTGCTTGCCATCGGGTCGACCTGGCAGCTCAGCTGTCAGCGGTCGGAACGAAAGAAGGTTCGATGGCCCTTGCTGAGACTTCGCGGTACTTACGTATAATCACCGTTACGGCTGCTTTCGCTGTTGTCCACACTGCTTGGGTTGTTAGCCAGGGCGTACGAAGCTTGAGATGAGGGGGGAACAGAGGAACGGACATGATCATGGTAGCTTCCATCTTGGCGAGGGTTTGGCGTTACTAGGAACGACGGCAGTGATTGATATAAGTGACAGTAGGTGATGGCTTTAGGCGCTGTAGATGCCGAAAATAGGAAGACCTTTGAGTAGATGGAGAGGAAATGATTGGAGGGGTGGATGAAGATGAAGATTGATGGAGGAGAGTGAGAGCTGCGGTGCTGGAGAGAGAGGTACGGGACGGTGACTGCAAGATGTCACACCCTCTCCCGATCGGAGCTAACCACGAATTAAGTCAGCACTTCAATCAAGGTTGTTTATCCTCTCTCTCTCTCCCGCCCGCCAACTCTTCCGCTTTCCTCCCTCCCTTCAATTCAGACGCACTTCTCGACACAATCATCCTTCTGGCTCCGCTCCAGCCTTTGAAATTTGCATTGGATATCCTGCACGTCTACAGACCAGCGATCGCTAGCGACCTATTTCAAGCCCAATGGCGTCCCTTGCCTCCAAACGCAAGTCCCCCGAGGACGCGTCCCACAACGAGGAAGCCATCACACCCACCAACAGCCCACCTAAGAAGAAGCTTCGGATTACACGCAACCAGAAACAGGCTCTCATTGATAACCTCCAGCTCGAAAGTACGCTTCCAAAGACAGCACAATCTTCATCCCTCAATTCCGGTACTAACCTCTGTTACAGTCACCGAACGCGCCCGCAAACTCCGTGCTCAGTATGCTCTCCAAGCCAACGACCTACGCGCCCGGATCGAGCGACGCATCAACCGAATCCCCATCGCACTCCGCAGAGCCAACATGGGCGAACTACTCGAGAGACACATGAGAGCACACCAAGAGAACACATCCCCACGCAAGCTGCTCAGCCCAGCCAAAGCATCCCGGAATTTCGCAACCATTTCCGCTAGCCCCAAGTTGCGCAAAGCGACGACTGCCAGTCCCAGCTCCCGCAAGGTACGCAAACAAAGGTACGGCGTAAGATTATATACCCTCTCTGAGTCGTCCCCAAGGGAAAAGGGACTCGATATCGTGGTGGTCCAATTCACTGACCCTGTTTTCCCCCAAAACTAGCCACGAAGGCATCTATTCCGATAAAGAGAACGCGCCCGCCCCCGGCGGGGAGTCGCTCGACGTGCTCAAGAACCCCAAACGCCGGGCCAAACCCGGAGCAGCAGCGGGAACCTCGCGGGTGGTGTCACAGGAGATGAGGGGCGCCAACGACTACCGGATCCTGTCGCCCAAGACCTCGAACTCGCGGACGTACCCCCAATCCCCTCTACGCGTCGCCTCGCCTGAGAAACCCAACCACCACCCCCACCACACATCGTCCTACCTCTCCCGACCCATGTCCCCCCTCAAGCCCTCCAGCCCGCTCAAGGGCACCTCCGCCAGCATGCCGGGCCTGCGGTCCGTTCGCGGCACCAACGCGCCCTCAACATCCGTCGTCAGGCCCTCGTCCCAAGCAGCCACCAGACGCCCGGCAAGCCGCGCCGCAACTACGACAAGCAAGTCCCTGCGCTCGCCCTTACCGCGGCCCGCGACGCGCCAGCTCGACCGCCGGGACAGTGTCTCCTCGTCCGCCTCCTCCGGCACCACCGTGGCGACCAAGCCAACCCGGACCCTCACGGGCAGCAAGAAGACCGCCGGTAGTGCCACTGCGTCCGCGACGGCCTCCTCCGCTGCCAGGAAGAATACGGGCGGCCGCACCCAAGCCTCCGCGGCCGTCGCCGCTAAACGCAACGCCGCATCAGGAACAACGACCAAGCGAGCCACCACCCCGGCCGGGGGTGAAGCCGCCCCCGCAGCCGGCCGGAGGGTTCTGCGCAAGCGAGCCTGATAGGAACCTAACTTCCGACCTTCTGTTCTTACGATCTAAGTCATTTTGATACCTTCCAGTGTTGCTTTGTATATGATTGGAGTTCCGCGTGGTGTTGTGCTTGATACCGGGGGGCGTGCGATTCAGGAGTTAATTTTAGGTATCGAAGGCGTATAGGGGGCTTGGGGTAAATCATTTGGAGTTTTCATGTCAATTACAGCTTCTATCGTTGTTCTGGTTTTGCCCAATGCATCGGATCAATTATCGAGAGACATTACCAGGTGTCATGTTTGTCCTTGTGGAATTATGATTGTGTTTACTTGAATCCAGCATGCATTTGCTGTTAAAAACCCTCAATGTCTCTTTGACAGCATCAGAACCGCTCTCAGCATGGAACACTATATATCATAATTTCACACTGTCAAGCCTATCAAAGTGGCAGCTACTATGATAATGTCTTTCATTCATAGTCGCTAGTAAATTACACCTCTTTTTTATGAGGGCAGGCGGGGGCTGAATGAGAAAAGAAAGAGGGAAATAAGAGGGGAAGAGAGAATAGAAAGACATCACATGGGATGCTGGAGAGAAGAAGAAAAAAAGAGGCACAAACAAGTCGGGATATCAGCTGGGGGTTTAGGTCGTATGGTTTTGGAGTGGGAGAAAGTGGAACAGAATGGAGATAGAAGAGAAGGGATGAAGAAAGTAAAAAAAGGTAGAAGAAAAGAAGAGAAAGAAAATATCGTATGACTCGGCACAGGTATCTTCGCAGTTAATCTAGAACTGCCTAAGAAAATGAAGTAAAGTAAAGAAGAAGAAAGCTGCCCTCTCCTCGCTAGTGCGTCCCACTCAGAATAATCTCACACGACAGTGGAATGGAAGTTAGTAAGGCACAAAATTGTGAAACACCATGGTGTTCAAGAAATCAGAAGAAAGGAAAGAGAAATCGAGGGAAGGAAAAGAAAGGAAATGCCCCTGGCATTGTATGCTTTGGGTCTCGGGCTGTGAAAACGCAAAGGGCTGCAAGGCAAGGCTTTGAGATAACAACGGGCGAGAAAGAAAAAGATGGGTAAGATGGAAAAGATGGGACAAGAGTGACCCCAAAGTCCCCCAGAATATGAACCTAACAAGGTCACGACGGACAGACGGACCTCCGTAACTAGCCCATCGAGGAGAAAGCAAATTAAGGGTGCAGTGAGTCGTACTGGGACCCACGGCCAATGCAAATGCGCTTCAAGTTGCCAGAGCACAAAAGACAATGTAAGAAGAAAAGAACAACCATCCGCCAAGAGAATCTTCGAGCCGACTGTTTTGGCAAACATCGATAATCATCTCAATTCAAAAGGTGAAAGAAACTCCATCCAACCATGTTATATCGAATAAACGCTGAACGGTCCAGTCATACGCCAAGAGCATTCTTCAGAGCTCAAGCGAGATATTGGCGATTATTGTATCAGGAAAATATCTTCGAGACTATGCAGAAAAGTGGCAATGTGGTGCCATCGCCGAAGACAAAGGCTAGCTGTTATTTTAGCCCGCAACACCCATAGGTCCCGCGCCTGAACGGGGTCGGTAAGGCATCGGCTGGCCTTGCCCATCAGGTTGGACAGTGGTTTGCTGGCTGCTATTACTCGTGCTTCGCTCACGGTAATCTCTAGCCGATGCAGGGCCAAGATCCATACCGGTCTGACCGGTGCTTGTAGAGTGGCCAAATCCCCCAGGGCTTTGGACGTGGCGAACTGAGCTCTGTGCCTGCCAAGCCGCATCTTGGGAGGCGTCCGTTTCAATGCGTGCAGACGTAGGAATGTTCGCTCCGCGAGTAGAATTCGTAATTGTGACAGTCTCGCCACCATTGAGGGGCTTTTGAGACATACTGCCTCGTGCAATATCCCCGTAGCGCTTGAGGATATCTTTAGTAGTCACTTCGCTGTTCTCTTTGAAGAAGGTAGGGTCGTTCAGGACTGATTGCAAGTCTTCGGGAATCTAAAAAAAATCGTTAGAAGGCAGCAGTACAACGAAGGGGAAGCTGGACAGCATACCTCGCACATAGTATCATTGTATGTGATCAGAGAGTTGACAGCCTCAATTGCCAGGAAGCTCTCGTCCACGGTACTGGCCTTGGTGTTGGGATAAAGTATGTTCGGTGTTATCACAGTTGCCAAATTATGAATGTCCATCTTGCTACCGGACTCCTCATCGACATGTGAGAAGGATGAAGTCCAGTTCAGGAAGGCGAACAAGACTTCCATGGTATCACGATGAGCTTTGGGAAGCAAGCAGCAGGTGAGATGCAAGAGGCGCTTTTGTTTCTCAGGATCAGAGATCTCTGTGGCGACGTTAACAAGCCGGACATTGCTGCGAAGGGCCATCAAACTTACTTTGAGATACTACAAATAAGCGGTGCAGCTTGAATGTCATGAGTGGATCTGGCATCTCACGAAGGAACTTCTTGAGGAGGGCTGCAATCTGGACAGGGTTCTCCTTGGTGAGATCTACCTGTTCATACCTGTTATCGATCATCTCGGTGAGTTCCTTCAGGCGTCTAATGTTGCCATTCTTTCGGAAAACACCCTCGACAGACATGTCCATTTGGCGCATCGCAGAGACAGCATCATCAACGAGGGCAGGAATGCGAAGCGCTCCTGGGCCAACACCGTGACTAGACTCTGTACCTTCTTTCTCAACAAGGAAATCGAGGCTGACGCCGAAGACGCCCTTCTTCTTCCCACCTTTCTTCGCTTCCTTGTTGAAAGCTCGACCAAAGATATTCCAGATCGTGGGTTTGCGCGACTCAATCAACGAGAGAAGTTCTTCCAAAGTAAAATTCCCATCTAACAATGGCTCCATGGACAAGACCGCAACATGTCGGACAATGAAGTACTCCAGAGCAGAAAGTTCCGAAAAGTACTTTTTAGTCCGCCCTGACTGCTCGATCAGATGCTGCTCTAAACCTGCACCCGAAACGCCACGCTGATGACCGTAGTTGTACTTTGGAAGTGGCTCGGTGGTGCCAACAAGCTTGGTGCCGGCATGCTTATAAGCATTGGGCCGCTGTTCCTTAGCTTGTTCGGCCGCAACGATCCTAGGAATATCATCCAAAGTCAATGCGTCCTGATTGCCAAATGTCAGCTCAGTGACCGTCTCTCCGTTGGCATCTTTTTCTTCTACAATCTGAAATCCATGGCCCCGTGGATCCGAGGCCTCGCCACCTGATGATCCCGGCCGCACGCTGCGACCCTCTGGCCCATCAATAATTCGAGAAGCTCGAGCCTTTCTGTAAGTTGTTGACAGGGTGCGCTCGTTCCGGATAGATCGCAAGCGTCGCATTTCGCCCACAGTTTGTTCGAGTGACGAGCCCTCGGGACTGTCCTTGACGGCGTTTGCATATGACTTGGCCCTTGTGCCTGACCTGCGCATTTCACCCCCAGGTGGGATTCGGCCACTATCGCTACCGCTTTGTGGGCCTGCATTGGGATCGTCTATCGAACGGTAAGTGTCTCTGTATCTCTGTGAGGTGTCGAAGTGACTGGTCGTCATAACCTACCAGAGAATGTTCCTCCAGCTCGTAGAACGGCGAGGAGTCGCGCAAGAGCAACTCTCAAAAGAAAGATAAACTGCTGAAGTTTGGTCACATGGATGAAACCTCCCTGTGCTTCCTGGTTAAGACCATTCTTGGTAATACAGTCGTTGCAGTATGCCCGCTTTTCCTTCCGATTGTACAGCGCATCCTGGATGGTGCTCGTCAGATCCTTCTGACAAGATACACACGAGAAGTGTGGCGGCTTAATATGCCACCTGCTATCGCCAAGCATGACGCATTCATCGTCAATGGGTTCCTTGCACGACGCACAACAATCCGATAGCTGGTCTGCGAGAACATCGACGCCGACCATTAAATCTGCAGTCGTTTCTTCTTCGTCGAGAGGCCGGAGTGCTTCCAAGTCTCCCAAGTGGTCTAGAAAGTGGTGAAGACCTTCAGGTGTTTGCTTTTCTCTTTCAAGTTTGAGGGCTCCTTGTAGACCGATACGAATGAGAAGTTTGAGGTAATGAGCGAGTCCAGTAACCAGTGAAAGGAGTTCTTGTGTAACGCCCAGTTTACGCACGCCAGCTTCCTGAGTCTTGGAGAGTAATGCAAAGAAGGCAACAATCTTCTTACACAGAAGTTTTGCTTCACGCCCATAAGCCAGGTCTAGGTCTGGTGATCAGCGATCGTCTTTCTGTTAACAGGGCGAGACGAGTGTATCGCAGCCGCTTACCTTTCATGCCTTGTGTCTTAATGTTTGTCGCAAGCTGGTCAATGGCAGAGAAGAGAACATCTACATGCCCAATGAACTTTTTTGCAACAAAAACACCATCAACATAGGTGCCATTGCTGACATGGAGAAGCATATCCGAAATGCACGCAGCAGATGACTCCTCAAAACTGGACAATATGCTCCAAATTCTGTAGACTTTTTCCTCCATCACGTCTTCCTCGTCGCGTACTCTGTTGCGTTCCTCGTCAGTGGCGTCTAGGTCCATCTCAGGCGGCTCCAGGACTTGGCCGGTCGGAGCCAGTCGGACATTCCAGAATTTGTGGATCATGTAACACTCCGGGTGCCAGTGCTGATTCTGACCGTTGCGAAAGATCTCGACGAATTGTTTCAGGATTGCCGTGTGACAACCATGACAGCGTTGAGCGAATTGAGTAGAATAGTGAAAATGACAGTAGACCTTACCCTCGTGCTCATAGTATGAATCTTGCGCCCCAAAAACAGTGGGACAGACAGAGCAGGTGAAGTGCTCGATGTGATACTTGCGTTCCAATGCTGTAATATATGAACCACGCAACGCACCACCGCATTCGTGACAGAGAAGATCGAGACGTCGAAAGTAGTCTGTCTCACAGAGAGGGTATTGCCCGTTTCCATCTTCAGCATCTACAGGAAAGAACTTGGACGCCACTATTTGACCACAGTCCTAAACCCAACGGTGTCAACAGATAGACGACGGCCATTCCTTAGACATGGTGCACTCACCTCGCACTTGAAACATTCTAGATGATATGTTGCAAGCAGAGCTCGTACGAATTGGCCCGTGAGCGGTTCGCCGCATTTTTTGCAAATCCGCGACGAGCTGCCAGGAGACTTCGTGGGTGGTCGGCCATTGGGGCGGGATCTTTCTCGTGGTGCAGATCTGTCCCAGTAACCATTACGATCTCTTGGTGTTGACGGATCTCTCGAGCCAGGGTGGCCAGATTCCAAGCGCCGGCTCAATCGACCGTCTGGGTTCTGTGCTCCATCGACCGGGCTATTGGTGGACCCGTTCCATCCTCCTGTTCTTGTGCGAGGCGAGTCGAAAGCAATGTTACTGTCTGCAGGAGAGGTTGGGGTTTGCGACTGAAAACTACCACCGCCATATCCACTGGTGTTGAGTTTGGGGCGGA